GTAACAAAGGCAATCTCTTATGCAATTTCAATTAAGGGATTTTTGTTATTTGCTCTCAAATTTACATTTAAAAATCTTAATTTTTAAGATTAAGGAAATTAATGAAACAGGACATCAACTACCTCCATTTTGACCTAAGTCTGTACTTTCTAACGATTAAGTTCTTTTCAGATCACCTCTTCACATGGGCAAACTCTGCAGGCAAAGCATCCTGTGATGGGAACCAAAATTACCCCCTCAAGCAACAAGGACTGCCTTGAGTGAGCAAAAACCCCATGACTGACCCCAAGATAATGACTGACATGACCCTTACTGCCCACCTGCATGTACCAACATTTTCCTCATATAAACCAGGAAGCATTTTCAGCACTTTCAGCACTTTGGAAACATTCTTTGTCTGCAGCCTTCCCAATGTCGACCTTTAGACAAGGAAACTGAAGGAACTCCATTCTTCCCTGGATTCTGTTCTTGCTCAGACCTGAATTCCCAATCCCAATCTACCCATGCATATGAAAATAGCATATATCCTCCTTGTAAGGGACAAAGAGATAATGGTACCTTTAGAGCCTTCCAACACTATAGATAACATCTAAGGAATTACGAGGAAGAGCTGTCATAAATGTTCTCCAAGACCAGGACTACAAATACTCTGACTACCAAGACCCCTGACTTCAGGGAATGAATGATTTATGAAGGACACCTGAACCCTATCCTTGTTCTGACCAGCTCCTGGATGCCTAAGAAGACACATGCATCAATCTACAACTGCCAAAAAAAATCCCCAGGCCCCAAGTAAAGATGAGACTTAGGCTCTTTTCCTTTCTGAGTCTCCAAGATGCTCCATGTTTTTTATCTCTCAATCTCTCTCTCTACATATACATATGCCGTAAATCATGCTTTCATCTGCTAGCTTATGTCTGATTTCCATTTTTTGTGAAAGGGGCCCTCTTGGGTAGTCCTCCAGGATCCTATGGGTCCTGGGACCCAGCCTTGTGGCATTAGCCTCACAAGTAAATTCTTTTGTTTCATTACTGGTGTCTGCCTTTGGATTCTGTCAGTGGTATTCAGTAGAGCTTGGTCTGGGACCCCCAGACCAAGGGGCTCTTGCACCCTTGTGGCCCAGTTACCTTATGATTAAAATTATGGACAGGGGTGCTTGGGTGAGTCATCAGTTAAGCATTTGTGTTTAGGTTGAGTCATGATTCCCAACCACCTGGGATCGAGCCCCACATTGGGCTTCCTGCTCAGCAGAGAGTCTGCTTCTCCCTTTCTCTCTCCCCCTTCATCTCCTGCTCATACTGGCTCTCTCTCAAACAAATAAATAAAATCTTAAAAAAAAAATTATTTAAAAAAAGGGTTACTGTTAGTAAGAACTATGTACTGGAGTGAAACTCCTTTCTACCAGTCAAATTTTTGTTTAGCACTCATAAAGCTGCTGTATTACTACTACCCAATTTACAGAATAGGCAAAGTCCAGGGAAACACATAAACCCATTAATTTAAAACATTTCTAAATAATGAAGTTGAGTGTGGATTATAAATACATATTATGTATTCTCATATAGCATGCTATACTATCTCAAACCAAAATAGCACTTCACTGGTAAACTACTAGCTTAAAATTTTTTTTTAATTTTTTTCTCATTAACATATAATGTAAGGTAACTGGGCCACAAGGGTGCAAGAGCCCCTGGCTCTGGTTTCAGAGGTAGAGGTCAGCGTTCATCAGTCTTTCTTTTCTAAGATTTTATTTATCTGACAGAGAGAGATCACAAGTAGGCAGAGAAGCAGGCAGAGAGCGGGAGGTGGCAGGGTCGGGGTGGTGGGGGGGACGGAGGGGAGGGAGAAGCAGGCTCCCTGCTGAGCAGACAGCTGGATGCAGGGCCCGATTCCCGGACCCTGGGATCACGACCTTAGCGGAAGGCAGAGGCTTAACCCACTTGAGCCACCCAGGTGCCCCAGCACTCGTCAGTCTTCATGTAACACCCATAACGTGCCCTCCTTAATGTCCATCACCCAGTTACCCCATCTGTCTACCCTCCTCCCCAGTTATTGGCCTTATTTATGACTGAGCGTAAAATACAGCATCTTAAAATAGGACTCTTGGGCATAGTGATTCTGTTCACTGACTATTTCTAGAAAGAGTTGATACCAAAAAAGCTGCAAAAACATACTAGAAGTTAGAAGTTACTCTTTCGTAAGGAAAATCTACACGTAAATAAATCTCCGTTTGTGTCAACCTCTCGATACAAGAAGCGGAATCATAAATTCTTCTCAAGGTGGAAGGAACAAAAACATAACTGAACTTTCTCTTGTTTAAAGTGCTTTTCCTGGTCAACTTCCATAACTGGCCTTTTTCTTACCCATTATTTTATTTTTGCCTTTTGCTGAGCTTAAGTTGGAGGCTTAGGGCTTTTCAAATAGTACCTTGCAGTTTTCCTAGGTATTTCCGCTACATATACTTAACATATACTTACTAATAAACTATACATACTAATAAACCAAAGTAACATACCACCAACTCTTAAGTCTTTTTTTTTTTTAAAGATTTTATTTATTTATTTGACAGAGAGATCACAAGTAGGCAGAGAGACAGTCAAGAGAGAGAGGAGGAAGCAGGCTCCCCGCCAAGCAGAGAGCCCGATGCGGGCCTTGATCCCAGGACCCTGGGACCATGACCTGAGCTGAAGGCAAAGGCTTTAACCCACTGAGCCACCCAGGCGCCCCCCAACTCTTTAGTCTTAAAACAATTATCCAACTGTTTCTGAACACATTTGCTAAAAATCTTAACATAACCATCCAATTCAACCAAGATATTTACTACCAAAAATTTAACAGACTCTTACTTATAGGATGGTTTTTCTTTGATGTAGAGATTATCTGGTAAAGAGGAAAAAGCATTTTCAAAGTAATTTTTAACTAAATGAATAATGATCTTTGGCCAGCAGTGTAGAACTAGGAAAAGCACATATCTTAAAAGATTACCTCATTATTTACCTCCACTTCTTTCTTTCCCTTTTTTTTTTTCCTAAAGATTTTATTTATTTGACATAGAGAGATAGTGAGAGAGGGTACACAAGCACAGAGACCTGGAGAGGAAGAAGCAAGCTACTCACTGAGCAGGATGATAGGATCATGACCTGAGCCAAAGGCAGATGCTTAATGACTGAGCCAGCCTGGAGCCCCTAGCCCCATTATTTCTGAGAAAAAAATACTCCAAATGAATGGGAAATGTTCTTCAAAGTTCAAACTTATATTTGATTATCTGTATTATTACATATAATATGATGAAGGTGGACTTTTAAATATTTTCAAACTAAAATGGAAAACAAAATCAAGAACAAAAAAGAAATACCATTTGTGGGGCACCTGGGTGGCTCAAAGGGTTAAGCCTCTGTCTTCAGCTCTGGTCATGATCTCAGGATCCTGGGATGAGCCCCACATCAGGCTCTCTGCTCAGCAGGGAGCCTGCTTCTCCCCACTCTCTGCCTACTTGTGATCTCTCCGTCAAATAAATAAATAAAATCTTAAAAAAAAAAAAATACCATTTGTGTTTGCAGAATAAAAAATATGTAAGAGCATCTCTATCCCTGTTCTTGGCAGAGAGCTCCTAAAACATTCTGAATTTCCTGAGTTTAGGTAGGAGTGGTTTTTGTTTTTCATTAGAGGCTCTTTTGTTCTCAACAGAATTTTTGCCAGAGACAACTTATGAATAGTTTCAAAATGAAGCTGGGATGGTGGGGAAAATAATGCAAATTAAGCTCTATAATAAACTGTTGAACACTGGAATTAGAGAAGTTTATGAGATTCTGATTTGGTACATACACCCCTGGTTTCTCAGAGAGAGATAAGTTCCTGAGCTCAGGATAATTCCATTCCTTGCCCTATATTCCTCTTCATTTGGCTGTTCACTTGTATCCTTTATAACATCTTTTATAATAAATTAACAAATGTAGCCCTGACATTTGTGAATCATTCTAATAAAATATCAAACCGAAGGAGAGGATTGTGGAACCTGTGATTTATATAGCTGGTTGATAAGAAGCATAGGTAACAACCCTGACTCGCAACTGGTATCTGAAATGGAGCTGTCATAAACAAGTAACTCCTTTACCCATGGAATTTTAACATCTCCAGGTATATAATGTCAGAACTGAGTTAAATTTGTAAGACACTTCTGAAAATTAAGAACTGCTTTGATGGTGCTGGAAAACTGTCAGGACTTACTCTTTCTAGTATGTCCAAATTTGTACTTATAGACAAAATTATCAAACTAGATAACAGGTTACCAATTAAGATTTTAAAATACATATGGGACGCCTGGGTGGCTCAGTTGGTTAAGCCGCTGCCCGTGGCTTGCTCAGGTCATGATGCCAGGGTGTTGGGATTGAGTTCCCCACATCGGCTCCTTGCTTGGCAGGGAGCTGGCTTCTCTCTCCGCCTCTGCCTGCCACTCTGTCTGCCTGTGCGCTGGCTCTCTCTGTGACAAATAAATAAAAAGATCTTAAAGAACACAGATTTTCACAAGAACAAGCAAAATACCCATCTACACTGTAAGGTGTTAAGAGTTTTATGGAATGGGGACACCTGGGTGGCTCAGTGAGTTAATCATCTGCCTTTGGATCAGGTCATATCTCAGGGTCCTGGAATGGAGTCCCACATCAGGTTCCCTGCTCAGTGGGGAGTCTGCTTGCTTTTCCCTCTGCCTGCTGTTCTCCATTCCGTGCAGGCTCGCTCTCTCAGGCTCTCTCTCTCTCTGACAAATGAATAAAATCTTTAAAAAGAGTTTTATGGAATGATCAAATTTACTATTTACATGAAATTACATAAAATTTCACATTTCTACTTACTCTCTTTCTCATTATCTAATATATTTAGGAGAGATTAAAAAACAGTATCTGTCTGTGACAAGAAAACAAAAGCAATTTATCCAAGACAAAAAATAAAAAACAATCTGCATATATATATCAAGCCAAACTTTTAAAAAAGAAAAACATTACCTTTTGGATAATCTTCCAATAAAAGGTTGAAGTGACCTAATTGACAAAAGAAATCAGATTCCACTTTTCCTTCAGCTTTTAAGATTAAAGATTCGTAGCAGCGAACAGCCTAGAAATGAAAAATATAAGCATTAAGAGAAAAGAAATATAACTGCATCCTTCTTGAGATAATGTGTATTTATATAAGAAATTGTTCTAGTGGCACCTGGGTGGCTCAGGGGGTTCAAGCCTCTATCTTCGGCTCAGGTCATGATCCCAGGGTCCTGGGATCAGGCCCAGAATTGTATCGGGCTCTCGGCTCGACAGGGAGCCTGCTTCCTCCTCTCTCTCCCTGCCTGCCTTTCTGCCTAATTGTGCTCTCTATCAAATAAATAAATAAAATCTTAAAAAAAAAAAAAGAAAGAAAGAAATTGCTCTAGAAATGAAAAGAATCAATACGTCCCTTACAAAAATGGGGGGAAAGACTTGCCAAAGATATATAATATAGGAGCTCCTTAATGACTTTTTATGAGTTGGAGATCTGAATAATTACTTTGGTCTTTGTTCATAAAAAACACTACTTTCAAATAGGCATGGGGAAAAATGACTATTGCATTTCAGTAACCAGTAACAACCTGTGATTTTCAAATTTTGGAATGTGGCAAGTTCAAATTGAGATGTACTGTAATTAGAAAACAGATGTCAGAAAGACTGTATAAAAAAGGTATAAAATATTCACTAATAAGGGGCGCCTGGATGGCTCAGTTCGTTAAGCATCTGCCTTAAGTTCAAGTCATGATCCCAGAGTCCTGGGATCTGGCCCCGCATTGGCCTCCCGGCTTGGTAAGGAACCTGCTTATCCTTCCCCTCTTCCTTTCCCCACCTTGTGTGGGCTCTCATTCCCACCTCTCTAATAAATAAAATAAAACAAAAATAAAAATAAAAATAAATAAATAAATGATAAAATAAAAATTTAAATATTAAATAAAATTAAAAATAAAAATGAATAAATAAATAAATAAATACATAAATAAATAAATAAAAATTTTAAAAAGTAAAATCTTTTTAAAAAATTCACTAATAGGGGGCGCCTGGATGGCTCAGTGGTTAAAGCCTCTGCCTTCGGCTCAGGTCATGATCTCAGGGTCCTGGGATCGAGCCTCACATCGGGCTCTCTGCTCAGCAGGGAGCCTGCCTCCTCCTCCTCTCTCTCTCTCTGCCTGCCTCTCTGCCTACTTGTGATCTGTCTGTCAAATAAATAAAAATCCTAAAAAATAAAAATAAAAATAAATTAAAAAAAAATTCACTAATAGGGTGCCTGGGTGGCTCAGCAGTTTGTTAAAGCCTCTGCCTTCAGCTCTGGTCATGATCCCAGGGTCCTGGGATCAAGCCCCACATCGGGCTCTCTGCTCAGTGGGAAGCCTGCCCCACCGCCCCCCTACTGCCTACTTGTGATCTCTGTCTGGCAAATAAATAAATAAAATCTTAAAAAAAAAATTCACTAATAACAAAGTAAAGTCACTTTGGATATTTAATTAAATGTATTATTAACATTAACTTCATCCATTTCTTTTTATTATTTTTACTTTTTCTTTTTCTTTTCCTTTAAGATTTTATTTATTTAATTTATTTAACGGAGAGATATAAAGCCAGAGAGCCAGAGAGATAAAAAACCAAGCAAGGCAATGGCAGAGGGAGAGGGAGAAGCAGGCTCAGTGGTTAAAGCCTCTGCCTTCGGCTTAGGTCATTATATCAGGGTCCTGGGATGGAGTCCGGCATCGGGCTCTCTGCTCAGCAGGGAGCCTGCCTCCTCCTCCTCTCTCTGCCTACTTGTGATCTATCTGTCAAATAAATAAATAAAAGTATTTAATACTTCCTTCACAATTGCAACATCAACTAATCAAATTCATAGTTAACCTGCTTTACGTAGAAAATATGTAATGGAAGGTATCTGTTACACACAGACCAACTTTCATGGTGCCAGATGACAGCCGACATTTTAGACAGATTTTGCTCAGGAGATGAAAAATGACAGAGAAGGAAACGGCATGGCTTTTGTGCAGCAGCTTATATAAAAGTAACAACATGTGCTACAGGTTGATGGGTATATTACCTAGACTTATATAATCTGAAACTTGAGAACTATACTAATTGTACTTTTAAATAATAGTGGCTTTTACTAAGCACCATCAAACTACACTAGCTGATAGCGAGGCCTACTTACGGCTTTTATTTCCCTGTTTATATTTCTTCCCTTTCCGAAAGCTCCACCCCCCCCCTTTCCTTTCTCCTCCCTCTATTTCCCGCCATCTTGGCCGACAGGAGCAGCCATTAACTAAAGGGTAGTGCCAACAACTTTTCACACAAATAAAGAGGAAATCCTCCGTGGTCTCTATCAGACACATGAAAAAGGAGTCCAAAAAAATTCCAGATTCCTACAATCGCATTCACAGCAGTGTTTCCGTAGCTTTCAAACAAGTAAACTTAAGGTCACATGCAAATCAGTATTTACAGGTTAAATACGAAATACAAACTCTACACGGCTGTAAAGTAACTTTCACTTACTCCTCTTGAAAGTAGGGATATAAGAAGCGTACCTAAACGTTCAGTAAAAATTACATCACAAGTCAACCACCAGGAGAAAAGTAATATGTAAGTAGGAAATTTTTAGAAGTGCTTACATTCACTATAATGTGATGACAGGATTCAGAAATCTCCTACCCAAAACGTTGTGAAATAACTGTTGAGCGGAGCACCAGAGCGCCGCCGTCTCGGCCACTCAAACTACAAAATAACATTTCGTAAGGCCGTAAGCAAGGTATCCCGAATGAGAGAAAAGCAAAAAGATGCTTTTCGTTCCATCCACAGGGGCGTTGATTGATCTCGGAGGCAGTGGGTGCAGGAAGCCTGCAAGGTTGGGCATGAAAGTCTGGGCCTGCTATTGCCTACCTTGCCCAAAAGGGTCTTCGTCCTGGCGCCATCTTCATGAAGCCTCACGAACCCGAAGAGACGGCTGTAGAAAGAAATACAAGCAGCTCGTTAACACTCCGTGAAAGCCACTGCCGGGTTTCCTCCAGAACCCAAGGCCTCGGTAGCGGAGGCCGCCTGCACAGCGCGGAGATAAGCCCCCAATTGCTACCATTAAGCAAGCTGTACTTGGGCCTCCCAGGAGAGCCGCGCAGCCCGTGCGAAATCAGCTGGGAGAATGACGGCAGACGTACCTGTCCAATCCGTCGAGCGCCTCCCTCTCTTCTGCTGTCAAGCTAGAGGACCCCTCCTTGCTCTCGCCACTCTCTTTTCCCGCCGCCATTTTCTTTCCCTCATCGCCGAAAACAGCGGCGGCGGTAGCGAGAGATACTTCGCAGGATTTCATGAGCACACAACAAATGTAAAATCCAATGCCGAAACCCACCACCACCCAGTGAAGAGCTCGAAAAGAAGCTCTCGTCGCGTAAAACTGGCACAACAACTTTATCGCCGCTGCCGCCTCCACCCGGGGTGACGGCGACGAAAAATCCCAAGATAATGGCAAGAGCAGTGGATGCCAGGTTTGCGGGGCTCGGCTACGAAATCACATCGCGAAACAGGCGGAGACAGCAGGAGAGGCGGAAGCTCGCAGTAAAGGGAGTATTTCCTAGAATCTCAAACTTCGCCAGCACCAGCACAAAGTTGTAATTGTGTCACAGTGCGAACCCCAAATCTCCGTGACGCCCTTTTCTCCCGCCCCAAAGCAGGCACGGCCAATTGACGTGACCGGTTCGTGTCACATGACATTTGTTGACGCACGTCAGTTTAGGTTCCACTGAACTTGCTAGCTGCCTCCGCCCCGCCCACTTGGCTATCCTCTACCAGAGGACGGGAGGGCTGTCAATTCGTACAAGTTATTGGTTGATAGACACGTCTGTCAGGGAAAGCGTAATCACCAGACGCAGAGAACTCTTGGGTAGTGCTAGTTAAGTAAACTCTGGTAGTGGGAACGGGTAGTCGTAGGGTCTTTGTTTTTGTCTGGAGTAAAGACGGCTAAATTAAGAAGCCGATGGGGACAGTGAAATCGCGCAGAGGTTCTACCAATGCGAATGCTCGCGAAAGATGCATGGATATCTTTTATGTGCTTTGCAATTCAGACGAGATCGGGCGCGTTCAGGGTGGTATGGCCGTAGACTGTGCTTTGCAATTCAGGATCTGTATGGTTGCTGGGCTCTTCCAGGGTCTGGTAAGACCTGCGTTACTCTTACATAGTGCGTGGTACTGAACCTCTAACTGCGGAAGAGTCAAGCACTTTTGCCACTCTGGAAATAACGGCGCACGACTCCCTGTTTCTCTACCTTTTCTTCTCAACCACCTGAAAAGAGAAGAAGTAAAGACCTGGAAGCCTCAGAATAAAGAATCGTTTCACGGGTTTTCTTTCCTGAATTCTCCAAATGTTCTCTTGATGACAGTTTTGCACACCTTCTGTTTATCAATTCATTTGGTGTCTAAGGAAAATATCAAATTAAGCTAAACTGCCAGATGTGGGTGGTGTTAACCGTAAAAGTGAAAGTCAATAGCAGAGCATTGCAATTCAGAACATGCAGTTTAGGGCAAAACTATAGTCAAGTCCAACAAACAAGAGAGGAAGACATTTTATGAAAAAAAGAAAATTCAGAAGGATTATTTTGAGTGAAAGTCCATTAGAAAAAAGAGACTGCAGGGTGACGACAATTTCTCATTACCTGAGTTGTACCTAAGGGGTAGGCAAGGCTATGAAGGGAGAGACATGTAGAGGGCTGCTAGGCTCGCCAGGGGGGCTCCTTACCAGGCGCAAAGAAATACCAGATGTGGAGAAATGTTATCGGTGAGATATGTACCAGAGTGGAAGGAAGAAACCGAATCCACCTTGCTTGTTCTTCCTTTTTTTAAAGATTTTAGATTGTCAGAGCACACAAGCAGGGGGAGCAGCAGGCAGAGGGAGAGGGGGAGGCAGTCTCCCTGCTGAGCGTGGAGCCCAGAGAACAGTGAATCCCAAGACCCTGGGATCATGACCTGATTCAAAGGCAGATACGTAACTCACTGAGCCACCCAGGAGTCCCAACGACCTTGTTTGTTCTAAATATAGACAGGATAGTCTCATGATACAAACCCACAATATTTGTCTTACTTGTTTTAGAACATTTACCAAGTTCTCTGGTCAGTTTTCTATAAAAGATCAACCATAAAAGGCCTCCAGCAACCCATTCAGGACTCTAGAAGGATACTTTTCTTTCATTTTTGTTCTCACCTTCACTTAATAAACTTTGATTTTACAGTTTTTTTTCTGTTAGATTCATTCTTTGACTCAGTGAGGCAAGACCCCTGCAACCCTGCACTGTAGGGATAATCAGCTTCTTCTACAAGATTTAATGCATGTATACCTTTTCCACTTGGGGCTTGTAATTGATCATTCTTACTACGATTCTACTGTTGGAGTCTTAATTAAAAGTATGCCTCTAATTGAAGTTGAGTAGTAAGGCTCTCCCTTCTAATCCCCAGACTGTGTTAGTGGAAGTCTCCTTTTACCCACTTTCAGTATTTGCTGTCCTGATCTCATAAGGAATATTAATGGGAGCTACTTGTAAAGAACTGTAAGGGGAATAATTAAGAGCATGACAGGCTGAACAATGCAGTAACCTTAGAAAATTTAGAAAATAAAAGATAACCATTTTCTAGTTCTGACCTCCGTATTGTAAATAAATGAATCCTATAATCAAGAGAGAAACAGGCCTCTGGCCAGTCTTTTCAAAAGGCAAATTTAGGACTTCTGGGAAGATGGTGGAGTAGGATTCAGGGCTAACTTCATCCCATAATACATAATAGCTGTATCTATGCAAATCATTCTGAAGACAGCTTGGAAACTGGCAGAACCAGACTTTTCAACGTTGATTGCAGACAGGACACCCCATGGAAAAGAGTAGGAGAGGCAGAAAAATGGTACGGAAAAGGGAAATTTCTTTTTTTTTTTTTTTTAAAGATTTTATTTATTTATTTGACAGACAGAGATCACAAGTAGGCAGAGAGAGGAGGAAGCAGGCTCCCCGCCGAGCAGAGAGCCCGATGCGGGGCTGGATCCCAGAACCCCGGGATCATGACCCGAGCGGAAGGCAAAGGCTTCAAACCACTGAGCCACCCAGGCGCCCCAGAAAAGGGAAGTTTCTTAAATTTCCTGTAACATGGGGCGCCTGGGTGACTCAGTGGGTTTAAGCCTCTGCCTTCAGCTCAGGTCAATATCTCAGGGTCTTGGGATCTAGCCCCGAATATGGCTCTGTGCTTAGCGGGGAGCCTACTTCCCTCCACCCTTCTCCCTGCCTCCCTGCCTACTTATGATCTCACTCTCTCCCTGTCAAATAAATAAATAAAATCTTCAAAAAATAATTTAAAAATAAATTTCCTGTAACATATTTATAGGATATAACCTCCAGTTCTTATCAGTAAAAATGGTAAGGTTTTTTTTTTTAAGAGAGCGATCACAAGTAGGCAGAGAGGCAGGCGGGGGGTGGGGGCGGTGCTGGCAGAACTCCCTGTTGAGCAGACAGCCTGATCCTGGGCTCCATCCTAGGATCCTGAGACCATGACCGGAGCCGAAGGCAGAGGCTTAACCCACTGAGCCACCCAGGTGCCCCAGCTAAGATGGTTGTTGTTGTTTTGTTTTGTTTTAAGATTTTATTTATTTATTTATTTATTTAAGAGAGAGAGAGAGAGAGAGAGTACTGTGGAGGCCAAGAAAAGGCTGTACCCACCTCGAGTCTAGCCCTAACATTGCCCTCCCCTCCATAAAACTGAAGGAGGCTAAGGCTGAGGCGGAAGAAAATGGAAACAAAGTTAAACCTAAATCTCAGTAATGAGAAGGCTTGATAGGAGAAATGCGACATTCCACCAGGAAACTCCCATTGTCTTCATGTTAGTACCTCATTAGAGGGAGAAACGGCCTTGACTTGATAATAATGAGGCCTCCAATATCCTGACAGTCTTTTTTATCCTGATAGCCCTTCTGAACATCCCTTTTGTCCTCACCTACTGCTGAGCCAGCAGTCATGGCCCAATAATCTACTGCCGAGTCCAACCCGACTCTGCCTTTAAAACTCTGACTGTATTCTGGTTTGGGGTCCAAGTCCCTACTCTGCTGTGTCGGGTATACTTGAGCCCAAGCTTAAGCTTGTCAAATAAACCCTCGTGTGATTACATTGGTGTTGGCTCCATGGTGGTCTCTCAGACGTGAAAACTTGGGCATAACACGCACAAGCAGGGGGAGCAGAAGGGGGAAAGGAAGGAGCAGGCTCCCCGCTGAGCAGGGAGACCCACATAGGGCTCCATCCCAGGACCCTGGGATCACGAACTGAGCCGAAGGCAGATGCCCAACTGAGCCACCCAGGTGCCTCCAAATGCTAAGTTTTAATAGACATGTTAAGAAATACTTAGTTTTATATGTTTTAGGGAAATAAATTTCCCTCCAACTAAAATAGATAAGATATATTTAAACTTTGATTAATTTAAAGACCAAGACAATTTAAAGATCTCTAACTCAATAAATTCTAACAGTACAGGAGAAACTATAGAAATCCCAGCAACTTTTGTACACAGACATATTTTCATTATTTTTTTTAAAGGAATAATTAAACTAACTCTAGTTTTTTAGATTATAGCATATGTTTAATTCCTTTCTCTATAGCACTCTTCTTGATCTATTCTAGGTGAATAAAAGAGTTCTTTTCAGTAACCATATTAACATCAGTACATTAACTATAATAAATTATGACCCTCAATAATGAGTTTTGACACATATTTAGTACAAATAATTAGAACATTTATTTTCAGAAGCAGAAATACAAATACTGTAGAACCTGTGTAAGTTATAAAGTATAAAGATCTTAAAAGTCAGCCTAATAAAATCATGATTTATCTGGATTTACAAATACACCTAAATGTCATCCTTTAGCATCAAAAAATACTTTTGAAAATATTTGCTCACAAGCCTAATTTTTTAGTTTTCCCTATTCTTATAGGTTTCATAAAGATTACCTACTTGACATCTATAAGCCTTGATGAAAAAATTAAGCATTGATTTACCTACTTGACATCAATAAGCCTTGATGAAAGAACTAAGCATTGATTACAGTTGAAAGGAAGTTGAAAGGGATCTGAGAATGAGCAGACTTTAAATTTAAAATTTTTCAGTTTTGGGGACCCCTGGGAGGCTCACTTGTTAACCAGCTACCTTTGGCTCAAGTCATGATCTCAGAGTCCTGGGATTGAGTCCTGCGTCCAGATCCCTGCTCAGAGGGGAGTTTGCTTCTCCTTCTCCCTCTGCCCTTCACCTTTGCTTTCTCTCTCTCAAATAAATGAATAAAATCTTTTTTAAAAGGGGCACCTGTGTGGCACAGTTGATTAAGTGTCTGCCTTCAACTCAGGTCATGATTCCAGAGTCCTGAGATCGACCCCACATCAGGCTCCCTGCTTAGAGTGGAGATTGCTTCTCTGTCTTCCACTCCCCCTGCTATGAGCTCTCATTCTCTCTCTCTCTCTCTGTCTGCCAAATAAGTAAAT